TGGAATTAGGTCACTGAGAGTCATCTCTTTTAAGTAAGATTTTTGGAACTTCAGTATGTGTGGAGTCTGGTTTGAATTGTGAATAATGGCTCATTTCAGTTCTGATTTTACCAAACTGGTGAAGAAGTAATTGTTTCTCTGTGTAAGTACATTTTCAACATAGCTTCCTGCTTTTTTTTTATCTAATATGATATAAATAAGAGAAGACTCTGCTGATAGTGGGAAAGGCAACAAAACCAATCCCCCCAGATATTTAATTTTATATTCAAGTTTTGGCTTATTTCTAAAAATGTACATTTATTTTTCTTTCTGACAGTAGAAATAAAATGCTGAGAAACACCTTTGGTTGACATCTAAGTAAACCATAAACTGTGAATATTAAAATATTTCAATGAATTTGTGAGGCTAAAAATCTGCAGTCACTAGTTATGAATATATTTTTAATCTTTACTCTGTAACACTAGATTGCCTTCATATAGCAAGGAAAGATGTTTAACAAAAGCAAACAGTCATTTATTAAAAAAATGTGGAGTTATTAAGCAGCTGGCAGACTTCCAGGTGCAACAGAAAGCATGGTGACAAGCACATATATGGGCAGAAGATCCAACAGAGCAATTACCTAGTTTATTTAAGTGTGGGAGCTGGGTGCAGAAAAACACAATACCTTTCATATCGTTTATGTGCTTTTTGCATTGCAGATATGGAGGTAGTAACTCCCTAGAAATAGACTGCAATTGCATTAGGACAGTGGTGCTTAATTTGGTGCTTAATGGCCACACAGGCTGGGTGAGTGGTATAGGACCAGTCCGTGTGCCAGATACCTCATATGGGGCCAGTCCGCAGCCTGATCTAGGATGAGATTGAGGCACAGGGTTGGTCCACAAGTGTAGTGTGGCATGCCATACCTTGTACAGCCTGACCCTGCACACTGGCCTGACTCTGTGTGCTGTGTCATCTGGCCTACAGGGCTCTCCACAGGTCTGGAAATTTGGCAATAGAAGACCTGCAATTAATAATTTGCCACTGCGCCCCCACTGCCACATTTTCAGACCTGTGGGGAGACCCATGGGCCAAAGGTTGAGCACCACTGAATTAGGACATGCAGACTAGTGATCCAGGATCTCTGGGCTAATGTCAAAAAAAGCATGGGATCAAAACTTCTCTTCAGCTGTTGCCTGTCTCATGTCATCTAATCAAATACACCAGTCAAAAAAATGCATCGCATCTACCCAAAGAACCTTTCCTGCCCAGTCATCTAAAGGATATATTTACATTGCAGTGTAGTGTAGAGCTTATTTTGAATAAGCTGGCTAGCTCATCAACCTGGAGTACCACATAGGCTAATTTTACTCTGTTGAGATGTAGGACAAACAAACTTGTCTGGGTATCTCTATGTAGGCAGAGGTATAGGTTGTAGCTGTGTTGGTCTAAGGACATAGGTAGACAAGATTTGGGTAAATCCAATATCTTTTATTAGACCCACTCAGATAATTGGAAAAATTATTCTTTGCAAGCTTTAGGGTACAAACACCCTTCATCAGGCTGAGGAAGTCTCTGTATGTACGCTACACTTCAGTGTACATATCCTGAGTTTCTGCCAGTAAAGTTCTCTAGGCACCCCTTTGTCTGCCTCTGATCATGAGTAGGCATGTCTACACGTGCCTCTTTAAGTGGGCTTAGCCTAAAATTGCCGTTTTTAAGGAACATTAAAGGCACGTGTCTACACGTGCGCATCCTTAATGTGCCTTAAAAATGGCAATTTAAAGCCACGCGAGCCTAAATTTGATAGCTAAGTTAGCTAAGTTTAGGCACAAATAGCTAAGTCGCATTAGTGCATGTGTAGCCAAGCTACATTAACGTGGTGTGTGTCAATGGAATGACACCGCGTTAATGCACATTAATGCATCTGCACATGTGCTAATGTGACTTAGCTATTCATGCCTAAATTTAACGCACCTTAATGTACATTAGCACATCCACGTGTAGATGTGTGCCTACATCACCTTAATGGGCCCTAACCAAAGGCGCATTTAATTTAGGCACATGTAAATACACGTGCAGACTCTCCCAGTAAGTACAAGCACCCTAGCTTTGTCAGGGCTGAGCAGTTCATTGACTAGGTGACCTCTAATTCCCATTTTGCCAGCACAGGGTCTAAAATTCTTCGAAGTCATAGAAAAATAGGGTTGGAAGGAAACTCCAGATGCCATCTAGTTCAGCCCCCTCCTAAGGCAGGATGATCTATACCCAAACGGTCCTATACAAATCCATTATCTAACATATTAGTAAAACTACAGTCAACCTTAACACACCCACAGGACATAATACCCTGACCTGTCACAGGTAAATCAGGACCATGGCAGCCTGTTGTTGAAAGGTTCTTAAATTACACTTGAGAGATCCAAGGAAGATTCCCTCCCCTCCCTCCAACTTCAGAGGAAATCACGCCCCACCCCCCATAGGCTATACCATGGAGTAAATTCCTTACTTACCCCAAATATGGCAATTGGTCTGACCCTGAATAGGGGGCAAGACCATTTAGCTAGGAATTTCTGGGTCTCAGTTGCAGCAGGAGCACTGGCACACCTGTCAAAATCCCCAGCCTTGGCTGCAGCTAACACATAAGGGTTCTGAGGAAGGTGGAAAAAACCAGACAGACCTGATGTATGTAGCAGCAGGAGGGGAAAATAATTCCTACCAAGACCCATGTGGAAGCCAGCAAAGCCCAGAAGGATGGGAAATACCCATAACAGAACATACGTATGGCTACTGCTAGATCATCCCTAACCAATGCTTATCCAACCTCTTCTTGAACGTCTCTAGTGATGGAGATTCCACGACTTCCCTGGGCAGTCTGTTGCACCCCCTCACTGTTCTAATAGTGCAGAAGATATTTCCTGGTGTCCAGTCTAAACCTACTTTGCTGCAACTTCAAGCTAACTTCTTGACCTGGTTCCTTCCCAACTCATTGAAAAGAATGAGTCTTGGTCCCACTCCTCAGCACAGCCTACTACTGAGATTTGGCAGCTCCCTGATCAACCTGCTATCTTTTGTGGCTCCTACTCATTGGCAGCTACCTCTGGCCCTGCATAGTACAGAGAGAACGTAGATGCCTATTTTAGGATTCCTTAAGGTTAGAAACAAATTCAATGTGTGGATCTTGCCTACTGTCCTTATAGCCTAGAGTCAGTGCATCCCACATTCTAAAAGTAAGTGGATTCCACATGCCTCATAAAAAGTGGGTCAAGGTAAGTGACACACGTTGCCAAAGGATATCCTAGGAGAAGCAGTATTTGTGAAGCGAGGTTTTATCTTTTATTGGATCAACTTGTTTAGTTAGGAAAAAGAGGAAGCAAATTTTCAGGCTGGATTAGAATATCTAAATGATTCTAATAAGTAACAACAAAATAAAGGGAGACCAAGAATTATAGGTAGAGCCTAATTCTGTATTCACAAGTACTATCCTGCTGTGGAGTAAATTAATTTATTCCAGCCTAATTGGGGCACACGTGTAAATGCTGAGACATTTATTGTGCAGCTAGTCAGCTATGTAGTAAATGTCTCATGTAGACTTGCTGTAAGTAGAGCTATTAGAACACTATTTGCACTCTACTGGACGTGGGCATAAGTACAATACTTTTCCTTAGCTTCCATGAAAAAGTACTGGCTTGGCTTAAGCACCCAACTCCAGTTGCGGGCTCCCAAATGAGAAGCCCAAGTGTAAGAAGCTACCTTTTAGAAATAGGACTTAAGTTCTGTTCTTCTTGGCTGCATTTTCTACTGGCTGTCTTAAGCAAATGCCTACATAACATGTTGGCTTCAGTGGATCTCGTACTGACTGCCTAAGTGCCTAACTGAGGGCTGATTGATATTTCTATTAGATGAAAGTGCACCTAAGAATTATCCACCTCAGTGCTCACATGAGTGTCTTTTGTGACTGATCTCAAAAAGCCTATAATCTGTAAAACAAATTATATATGAACAAACCCCCCTTAGGGAAATTTACTTATTTCACTGGCATAAAGTTTCACATAGTTGTCAGTATTGCAGAGCCAAATGAAATTTCCAGATAAAACATCTGGAATCACGTAAAACAATAAACCTATTTTTTTTTTTAAGATCGCTCTTCTAATTACATTAATTTAGCAATATGAAACAGGGTGTAAAGCCCAGAAAGTTCATAGAAACAGATGTAACTATAATCTGCTCTATTGAAAGCCTGTCACCATTGTCAATTATCTATTGAAATGAGAAATGAGATATTTTTAATGGAGTCAATTACAGTTGTTAGCTAGAATTTAGAAATTATTTCTATTTGTATTTATTTTTCATAAACCCTTATGCAAAGTTAACAAGCAAAGTTAACGTACCCTAGTGCTGCTGTTCATGTCACTTTAAACAATCAAGTTTGAGCTTCTGTGGTAGATAAAAGAGGAAATTACTGGCAAGATGTACCTAAGATATATATGGAGTTCACTCCCCTTCTCCCCCCCAGCCCAAAATAGACAGTCTGTTGACCGTCCAGGAGCACCACATGACTATTTCATTTAGCATGTTTTGGGACTGGCTTAGGAAATTGAGTTTGAGGGTTTTTATGGAAATAGGATAGGATGGTAGATTAGAATTTGCATAGTGTAGTGGGATCTGGTTTAGGATGGGGCTTCTGTGTTTTGCTGCAGTACAAATAAATAATAGTAAGCATCAGGCTTTGTGTCTACTGATTGTTATGTGGGGGAGAGGGAGAGATGCTTTATTTATTTATTTATTTATTTTTACCAAGGAGTAATGCTTTTGTTTTTCATTTTCAAATTAAACACAACACTGCCTAATACCAAGGATCATTATTCTTTGAGGTTGCTTTAATCCTTCTTTTAAAAATGCCTAAATCTTTCTTAGAGTAAAAATCTTTACTGTAATACAGAATATTTGAGTGGGTTGGTTTCTTGCCAGGCACTTAAGTGTGCATGCTGTTCCAGTATAATCTCTTTTTCTCCATTAAGTCCTACTCTAGCCATGGCCCACAGGAATCTGACTGGCAGCTGTAATGTTAACTGTGGATGTAAGATTCATGAATATAAACCTGTTTGTGGATCAGATGGAATAACATACTTTAATCCTTGTCTGGCTGGCTGCATCAATGGTGGAAATCAGAGCTCAGGGGTGAGTGCATCACAAACTTGTCCCAAATGTTGCAAGCCTACACTAGGGTCATAGATCAGCAGATCCTGGCAGGAGTTGGATGGATAGTGCCTCTTGAAGGCTCAGATCAGGTGTAGTGTCATAGAGAAGTAGGACTGGAAGGGACCTCCATAAGTCATCGAGTCCAACCCCGAATGGCATGCTTCCCTCTTCTTGGGTTCAGAGAAGGCCTGCCACAAGCAACCCTTATGCCTATATTTCCCCACAATTCAAGAGCTCAGAACATCAGCAGTCCAGCTTTCAAAAATCTGGGAATTTTGAGCATAAGCTAGTGCTGCACTAATGTATTCCAAATTAATCCTCCCTTTCAAAAAGTGATTTGAAAACCACCATGGGAACTTACATTTAACAGAATGCATTTATAGCATGGTCCTGGGGAGGCTGGGCTTGTAATACAAAGGTGCAGGATGGCTATGTGAATGGCTTGGGACCCTGCTAATAGGAAGATACAGGACTGGAAGGGACATCCTTGCATCACTGAGTACAGTTCCCTGCTGTAAGACTGCTCTCTCATATAATTTCCTTTCATAAATTTATTGAGCTCTTAAAGGAGATATTTTTTTGCCCCCATTATTCCTGCTTATTCTCTCTGATGGTTCTTCTCCTGCTTATTCCTCTGGTGGTTCTTCTTCTTTTAATATACAACCTAAATTTATTCATGAGTAATTTACACCTGTTTCTTCTTGTGCCAGTATGGTCCTACTGCTTAAGTGTTGCTTCCTCTCCAGTATTTAGTCCCTCTGGGTATTGTTACATGAGCTCTAGAGGTAGGATGGGAGGGCACTTTAATTAGAACAGCTCTAAAAGCTGCTCTAATTGAAGTACTGCACCGTCTTATGTACCAGTGTTCCTGCACTTCAAAATGGCATTGGGACGCTTGAATGAAAACTCATTCGACAAACTTTAATTCAAGTGCCCCTGCCACCATTTTGAAGTGCGGGGATGCTGATACATGAGACGCGGAGGCTGGCTGGAGCACGGTAATTATCATGCTCCAGCAGATTTGATCCGATGTGCTGTAATTACATCAGCTCTGGTATATTATAATTGAGTCCCTTCTCACACCGCCCCCCATAGCATGTGTAATTACAGTACATTGGAGCACATTGCAGCACTTCTACAGGCATCCTCAGTGTCTTGGAACAGAGCAGTTCTGCTGCTTCTCAGCTTCCATTCTGCTAAGCCCTTTTAGTCTTCCTCTCTTCCACACTACATTTCCCTGATCAGATCATCCCAGTAGCTCTTCTCTGCAGCCATTTAGGTTTAAAGTAATTTTTCTTGAACATGGGTGACCAGAGCTCTACGCTTCATTCAAGATGACTTCTTATCAGTGCTTTTTTACAATGACATTAATAATTCCTCATCTCCTTGAAATACCCACCTGATACAACCTAATCTTTCAATGTCCTGAACCTGTAGGAACCAAACACTTCTGGCCAGTGCCAAAGAAAGCACTGCATCTTGAAATTCATGAGTTTCCAAAGGGTTCATAGGAAAACAATGTAGTTTGTTTATAGTTGTAAACAAATGAGGCTGAAATTAATTTAGCATTATATATAGGGTATAATATTAGATTCAAAATTTCTATTAAAAATACTGTCTCTAAAGAATGGATGAGGAAGATGGGGAATATCATGAAACATAGATTTGATCAGGAAGTGATTTTGGCATCTAGAAAGCACATTAATTACACTTTGTGCTCTTGCCTTTGGGCCATCAGAGAAACAGGAGAACTAGCAATCCTACAATCATAATTTGTTAATTTTGATGGGATAATAGTAAGTATGAAGATCCAGATAACTCATTCACACAAAGAAGATTAGAGTGCTTTCTTTTATTTAAGCATTTTGGGGGATTGGGCACGTTTTTTGGAGCCAACTATTTTGACATGATTAAGCCAAGTAAAAAATGTGGCTGTCATTCAGGAACCAGGAGAAGCCATTACAGAAATAGTCCGGGTAGTCCTGGGCTGGCAGGAACATGTCAGTCACAGCTAGAAGAGACACGAGCAGTCCAGTCAGCACAGAAGCATGCTTAATGAGTATGGAACCTCAAGTGATCTGGCTTCTAAAGTCTCTACTTAAGTTTGGTGCATAATCACCCTTAAAAAAGGAATATCTGATGTAGCTGCCAGGGAGAGCGGGGAACTGGACTCAGCAACACACAAGTTTCTGGGTTCCAGGTGCAAATTGATTTTTCAAAGGCTTATCATTAGGCCATATTTGTACAAATTTTCAGAGAGACAGCATTTCCCTGGCACACAGGGCAATGCATATCAACTGCTAAAGTTCCTGGTAGTCCATTTAGTTTAAAGAGAAGGCTACAGGAATTTTAAAAATGAATGAAACAAGGCCTTTTCCTCAGAACTGACCAAACTATTTTGTTAGAAATTATAGAATGAAAAAAAAAAATCAGCCTGGGGCAGACATGCAGCAAATAAAATTTCACCCTAAATAGTTGAAGTTTGTCAAACTGTTCAGACCCTGTTTTCAGTTGCTTGTAATGGGAAGGGTTGGACAGCTTTAAAATTAAGCCATGTTCCTTGCCCTATCTTTACCTAGAAAAATAATGTTTCAAGTACAGGGCATGGCACTTTTTCATTGTAGAGGAGAAAACTGTCCTGCGCTAAGTGCAGTGCGTTATTGTGGTTGAAATTGTGAAAGTCTTGCAATATGAATATTTTATGGTTTTCCCATTTACTTTCCTCAGGTAAGAAATTATACAGAATGTGCCTGTGTTCAAAGCCGCCAAGTTATCACTCCACCAACAGTGGGACAGCGCAGTCAGCTCAGAGTGGTTATTGTCAAAACGTACCTGAATGAGAATGGCTATGCTGTTTCTGGGAAGTGTGATCGAACCTGCAATACACTTATCCCATTCCTAATATTTCTTTTCATAGTTACCCTTATAACGGCATGTGCCCAGCCATCAGCAATCATAGTGACACTCAGGTAAGAACTTAGCTTTTCTGTCTCTTTGTCCATCCATCCATTCATTTTGTGCCTTTAACCTTAGTGTATGTATCATTGCAGTGAAAATGCACTGCAACACTACAAAAATCAATGAAACTTTGCCAATTGCACTTGTTTAATATCTGATCCTTGTAATTATATTAAGCAATAGGAAAACACATTTTCTCAGAAAATAAATATCCAGTAGACATGGTGCAAAATAAATAACATTGGTACATTTAAGAAAATCTTATCTTCTCTAAATAATATTTGTATTTTCAGATCAGGATGTGAGAAAGAAATGGTAATGTTTTTCTAATCTGGATTTCAGCCCAGAAAGAGTTGTTTAAAATACCCTTTCATTTAAGTTTCACTGAACCATACTTCCTTGTTTTTTTTCCTCCTGGCCTTATATATCTATCTGGCTTGGCTACCCAAGGAGACAGCTGAAAAGGGTCAAGATAATGCCTAACCTCTGACCTGGTGGTTCACTATGTGGAAAAGCTGGAAGTGCTAGTTAAAACCATCCTCTGCTAAATTCCATGATGCACATCTATCCCATGTTTTGTCGGCACCCTAGTGGTTAAGGCACCCTTCCAGAAGGAGAAAGATGCAGCACTGTTACTCCCCACCACAAAAAGCTAGTAACCCAGTCATAGCATCACAGGCTAGACAGACTGCTAGGTTTAGCTAATAGGCAAATATTCTAGACAAAAGCAGAACAAATAGGCGTATGGCTCTCAGAGTTGGATGCTTCCATAGCAGAGAGGAATGAGCTCTTAATGCCAATATTGTTTGGAGATTTTGCAAAAGAAAGTCATTGAGAGAACTGCGTGAGCAGTAGGGAGCTGGGGGAGGAGGGTGGTAAGACTAGGCATCATCACAGAGTAAATCACCTGTTAGAAATTTGAATCAGTGGCAGTCCTCATTCCAGTATTTCTTCATGCTGGAGTGATCCCTTGGAATCTATGACCCAGAACCCCTAATGGAAAGGTGTTTATGCCTACATTTAGAGAGAGGAAAAGAATGCTGGCTGCTGTATTTACCCAAATTAAAGATTACTTTGAGTTTAAGACAACTCCCCAGAAATTAGAATCTGTCCATAGAAAACAACAAATGCATTATGCTTTTCCAGGTACAGAATCTAATTAGTGGAACGTTGTCTTAATTTTGTCCCACTCACTGCTGTGGCAGGGAAAGCAGTGATGGGGCTGGGGAGGGGGTGAAGGGCCTTGTGCTTGACTGTCTCTGAAGAATGGATGACTGCTGTTTCCCCCATCCCAGTGTCTACCCCTGCTGCTGCCTCTCCTCTGCCATGTGCCCATCGCCCCTCTATGCTTCTTGGCTTGGCTAACATGAGATAAGCGTCAGCTCTGTTATTAGGTGCACAAGCGCCACTTCATACTACAGAGTTAGTGAGTTGTATATCCAACCTGCTAGGGAGGCAGGCTGGCCAGATGCTTTTGCTAGCTGAGTTTCTGGCTGTTTTCATCCAGTAGTAGAGGCTTATCATATTAAATAAAAAAGGCTGATTACTGAACCTCTGTTACTCTCTCTCTGCTTCTGTGACCTCCCCCCACCTTCCCTTCCCTGTTCTGTGACCCTAAGGGAAAATCTTCCCATGTCCCGTCCCCTTGGAAGTCACCAGTGGAACAGATGAACTGTAGCATTTGGGTTATTGTGTGCAGCTTCACTGCTCGGAGCCCTGTGCACCCTGTGCTGTGTTCACTGCCCCTGGCAGAAATTCCAATTATGGAGGTTTTGCTGGATGGAGGACAGCATCCATTCATTTGTTAACTGACGCTTAGTGTTAACACGATTAGCAGATACAGAGTTGTTTGTCAGATGTTTATTACAGGTAGATGACCAGAAGAAAAATGCTAAAATGATTATGTGCTATGACTGTCTTTTTCAAAAAAATCTCTCTCTGCCTGCTAGGTCTGTGGAAGATAGTGAGCGGCCTTTTGCACTAGGAATGCAATTTGTTTTATTACGAACTCTTGGTAAGTTTTACAGTAAATAAGATCACTGATTGCTACCTGTACAGAAGCATTCATATAATCATAAAAAAGTAAGGCTGGAAGGGACTTCAGGAGGCTAACCAATCTATCCCATGCTCAAAGCAGGATCATCCCTCTCTGTACCTTCCCAGATAAGTTTGTTTAACCTGTTCTTAAAAACTTAAGGAACAACCCATTATACAACGCTACTGGGCATTGTACGCAAAACATCAAAAACAACCTTTAACTTGCCATAGATAAAGCCAGGGGAACAAGGGCATTATCAATGAAATATTTTGTTTGACCTTTTTGTATATTATTTACCGTAAGTTACATTTTGAAACAGATCATCCTTTTGTTGAGTCCACAGGGCCCTGTGCTGCTGCTGGGTGCTGCCAAAAAGAAGTGGCAGGTGCTGCTCCAAGATGCAGATGCTGGAGCTAAAGCGGTGGTTCCAGCAGCAGCGGTACCTGTCCATGTGCTGACTGATGACTGTGCACAGCTGCACAAAAAAACCCGTAAACAACCCAAGCCTGGTATGTGCATGGTCAGGCTGAGGAGGAGCGCCAGCTTCACACGCTCCCTGTGTTATGTGGCGAGCAGAAGAACTGTGCCACATTGCACCAGCAGAGGCAGGGGCAGAGGCAGGGATTGTACCCCCACTTGCTCATTGCTCAGCACACTGACAGGTACCGCTGCTGCTGGAACTGCCGTGCCAGCTTTAGCGTGTGTGCCTTGGAGAACAGCACCCACCACTACTTCTTGGTAGTGCTCAGTGGCAGCATGGGGCCCCCAGGGGTCAGTTTCAAGGCCCTCCTGACTAGTGCAAAGCCACTCTAGACTGATGCTGGGGAGGCAGGAACACAGGGACGGGGTTAGAGGTGGGGCTGGGGCTGGGCCAGTAACATCTAGGGGGACTGGAGGCTCCCATCCCTTCAGCTGGTGCTGTGCTGCCTGGCTTGGCTGTGCTGCTGCAGGTTGCAAACGTGTTCGCCCAGTGAGCTGTTAAGGTGCCTTAAGGTGTGTATGTGTAGACATGCACCTAAATTGCCTTAATGCGCCTTAGGCTAAGGTGCATGAAGTTTAGTGCATAAATTCATGTTTAGACATGCCCAATATGTCACATTTCCTAGGAAAGCATGAGCACTTAAATGGGGCCAAATACCCTGGTAGCAGCCTGCTGAAATTAAAGCATTTTTCTGTGGAAGAGAACTTTTCTTGGAAAGAACAATTTGAAAATAATAACTCTTT